TGAACAACAGGGATTTCGTAGTGGAAGATCGTGTATAATCCGACAAGCGAGAGCTGGCGGGTGAGCTGCGCGAAAATAAAAAAGAAATTATTCTAAGAGAGGTAGGAGAGGTACTTAATCGCGATTATAGGTATATAGTATAGGTACTTAAACAGTTATACACGATGTGAACTCCTAGCCGACTGCAATAGAAATGAGCAATCCCTTCCACTTGTCAATTTGTTCTACACGCAACCCGCCAGCTCTCGCTTGTCGGGTTATACAGATGCAATACTCGTTATAAAGCAAATTACTAAGAAATCACTAAAGTATAATAGACCAGCATTTCTGTGTCTGAGTGACCTAAAGAAAGCGTTTTACAGAGTAAGACTCAAAGATGTAATCCATCTTCTCTGTAATAGAGAAGCTCTCCTAAATATTATAAAAACTATCGAAAACATCTACCAAAACAAAAAATGGACGTCAAAATAGATGGACAACTTACAGAACCTACAGAAATAGGCAGCGAAATAAGTCAAGGGAATTAATTGAGCCGCATGCTCTTCAATTTGATCATGAATGAAATCATCAAAAGCGTTAACAAAGGAAGAATGGGATTACACTGTCTAGCTATGGAAACCTGGACAAAGCAGTAAGAGATCAAGTACAAAAAGCAAATAGACTGCCTTAATATCACTATTAGGCGAAACAGACACATTAACACTGAGATGAATAAGGCCAGTGTAAGACCAATAATGACATATGCTTCAAAACAAGACCCGACACTGCCACAACGCAAAGGCTACTGAAAACGGCGAAGATGAGAGTACTGAGAAGAATTACAGGAAATACGCTGAGAGATTGAAAGAGAGGTGAAGACATTAGAAGAAAATGTAACGTACAGTGTATAAATGAATTTACACAAAATAAAAAAAAGAATGGAATAACCACATAAGCAGAATGAAGGAGACCAGTGTCGTCAAAATAGCAAGAGATAAGTCACCTATCGGCAGAAGAAGTATCGATCAACCGCGCAAAAGATGGAGTGATAACCTTCCATAGAGGTATTAATCCGCCAATGAACAAGCATAATTTCTTATAGAATCTTCTTTTTTGACAAAGTGTCTAATGATAACATCTGACTCAATAGTCCTCCCTGAACTACATTACCACGAGGAGACAAATGGATGAGAAAATAGATAGTATGGAGGCAGGGGAAAAAGTGGAGGAATTGTGGACAGAATGTGAAACATAATAATTGAGAAGGCAACAGAAATATTGAGGAAAACTAAACCAGTTAAAAGAACCGATGGTTTGACAAGGAGTGCCAAGAAGCGATAGATAATAAAAATATAACATACCTTAAGACAAATCAAGCAGAATGCACAAGAAGCATTGGACTTTTAAGAGGAGAAGAAAAAAGATTCACTTTGAGGAAAAGCAGTTAGAAAACTACCTAATCTAACTTTCAACTAATAGTGAAAAAAAAAGATCGGGGAAAAAGAAGACTAGGAAGGAAAAGACTATCGTGGCTAAGAAATATCCGACAATGGACAGCGCTAAATTTTGAACAGCTAATAAGAACAGCCGAAGACAGAGAAGAGTTTGTAGTTGTAGTAGAAAACCTCCATCGACGAGAGAGCACTTTAAAAAGAAAACATAGAAGGGCTAAGAAATCAAGACGAAACTCGAAAATTTTACAGAAATCCTAACAAAATGAGAAAAGAGTTTGAGCCAAGAATAGGGAGCTATAAGTATGAAGGGGGAAATATACTAAACGATACTGGTATCAGTTTATTCTAGAAGTTTTGAGATAAAGGATGGAGTTGGACAAGGGTATGCGCTGACAAGATGCCAAGATGCGTTATGCCTTCTATTTAATATTGTCTTACAAAAGGTAGCATAAGCAGACACGCGAATTAGAAACGGAGGTACTATTTACAATATATAGATATAAATCTTAGCATACTCTAAAGACATTGACATAATAGCGCCTAGCGCCTGCTGAGGCCGGTCCTCACTTATCGAGCAAAAACATGTACCCTAATGCACAAGGACGAAAGACTTTTGGGAATATTCAAGCGCAAAATACTCCGCAAAATATTTGGAACTATAAACTATCGAGGGCGCAAAAGATATAACTTCGAATTATACCAACTTTTTAATGAATCCGACGTCGTAACCTTCAATAAAACACAGTGACTCAGATGGGCTGCACACATAATACGAATGGCAGACAACACGATCGCTAAAAAGCTAACCACAGGAAATACCTGTAGGAGAAGGAGCAGAAGCCGACCGCGAATTAAGTGGTTGGATGGAGTTGACACCGACTTAAGCTATGGCTTGTTAGAACAGTAAGCGACGCATAACTCACAGTCAGTCGAACGCCGCATAACTCACAGTCAGTCGAACGCTGCGCACGTTCGTCAAAATCAAAGAAATGGTTCTCTATCATAACGGTTTATTAAGTTCTGCTGAGCTGCGCACACTGGAGACCGATAGCCGTGTACGTCGACGGTGTGCGCTGGAATCAACTGCGATTTGATTTGGACGCAAACGTTCAGCTGAGCTGACAGCGTACACATTTATACCGAAATTATAATTATATTTTTATATAGTTATTAATATTGTAATAATTATTGTAATAATTAAGTGATGTCTACTAAATTCTGTATTAAGACACAAAAAAATTTCGTTTACATTTTTATTTCTTTTACTTAAATTTAACGTTATCAACTTTTCTTCTGACCAAGCAGTCAAGTACGGAAATTGTCTCTGAATTTAAGCAGATAAAGCATGGAGTTCCACAAGGATCAGTTCTGGGCACTCTATTATTTATTATATATGTGAATGACTTGCCCAATTTCATGGCTCCATTTAAAACAGTTTTATTTGTAGATGACACTACTTTTGTTTTTTCTGATAAAAATCATTCAGATTTAGAAACCACGTATGAGTATGTAGATTCTAATGCTCAATCATGGTTCTTAGCAAATAAACTTAAACTAAATGATAACAAAACTCAAAATTTAATTTTTTCGTCTACCCTCGATGTGAGTGTTGAAAAAAATAATGTCAAATTGTTGGGCATAACAGTTGACAACACATTGACTTGGTATAACCATATTGACCATCTCAAAGGTAAACTTTCTAGTAAGTACCTTATTTTTACTCAGACAATTAAATCTTGTTACAAGTGTTGATACCTTGAAAATAACGTATTTTTCTCTTTTCCATTCATTTTTAAGTTATGATGTTATTCTATGGGGAAACTCTTACAATGCCGTAACAATATTTAAATTGCAAAAAAAAGCAATAAGAATAATTGCAAAAGTTAGCTACTTGGAATCTTGCAAACCGTTATTTATTAAATATAAGATAATGCTCTTGCCAACATTATGGATATACAGTTTAAATGTTGAAATACATAAAAATGCTAATACTTTAATTAAACACTCTGACTTACATAACTATAACACAAGAGGTGCAAATAACATCAGAACAGTTAAGTATCGTTTGAATAAACCACAAAAAAACTCAATTGACTATAATATACAATGTCCTACCTAAAGATTTAAAACAACTTTCTATGAATAAATTTAAAGTTAGTCTAAAAAGATACCTTTTGATATTTGATTTTTACTCTGTTAGTGAATATTTTGATCACTTCAATGCAGTAACATGAACATGGATGTACTCACTATGTTGGTATATGTCTTATTTTGTATATTTTATGTTTTATTCTATGTTATGTGCTGTATGTTCATCTATTGTATTTTGTGTATGTTATATATTATATTTTTTACTTTACAATGTATATGTCATATACTTGACTTGCTACAAACAAATGTAACATTTGTAAACGTACTCAAATAAATTTTGAATCTTCTTCCTCCTCTTATTGGAGTAATAAAATTTTTGCATTAAGTTTGCGAGAAGTCATTTTTTTAAATGTACAATCTTTGAGAGAATAAACGTGAAACCAATTTCTAAACTTGTTTTCAGAGCGACAGAATATTTATGCGAAATAATCTAGCACCCAAAAACTGCCGTGAGTCGCGTACAACAGATTCTGCTGTGCGCTGCGCACTGTTCTAACAAACCGTAGCTTAAGGGGTATTAAAAATGAGGAGATGGCAAAGGTTGTCAAAAACCAAACCGAATGGTGAGGAATCTTGGAGCAGGCCAGGATACACAACGCATTGTCGAACCAAATATGATAATGATCATTAATAGGAAAACGTATGTAAGACTTTCTTTACAACTCAATATAAGATTTAATACAAGTTCTATGTATCTCATTAGGCTTAAGAGCAATATTTTGGCTTGGAAGGTTTGGGTTTCAGAAAAGAATATGCAGATGAAACAAAAACACTTTGACTGCCATTTTGTTAGTAATATCTGAAGCGTTGTAGAAAGAATAATGGATTTTATGTATCCTTTAATAATTGATGAGACTTGGGTATACCCACATGATATAAAAACAAAATAAGAGGATAAGGTAAATCCAAACTGGTAAAGATGTAAGGATTTATAAGAAAAGACTTGGTGTAAAGAAAACAAAAGATTTATAAGAAGACCTGTTTCATTAATACAATGTACAACCAACCCGAAAATAAGTGAATTTAAGTATAAGTTATTGCTACATCCATGACATTCACTAAATTTAGCCTCCTCTGACTTCTGGCTATTTTTACATATTAAAATATTAATGGGTAGAAAACGGTTTTAATCGAACGAAACAAAAGTAATAGCAGTCATTGAAGCATATTTTAGTAGGCTTTTGCATTCTCAGTTCAGATATGAATTCATACACTAGAATATTATTGGAACAAGTGTGTTGTAGTTCAGGGAGATTATAATGAGTAATCAAATTAAAAAATCGTGTTTTTATTATCTAACGACAAAGTTTATTGAATAAATCAATATTTTGTATGATTAGTTGCATATTTAGAAAAGTCAATCTTGTAAAGTATCAAAGTAAATCTTGTAAATCAAATTAAATAACCGATACCTACTTTGGATAGCCAGCGATTCTGTATTACAGCTGTAACAGACGAAGGAGGGTTATTTAGATCCTCAAACGCGTCCATCAAAATATAGTCTAAAACAATGTCGAAGAATGTCAAAGCTTTGATTCCTCTAGCGCTTAGTTCCTCTTCTACATCACGCCAATTTTGGGCGTCCTGTGTGTATTTAAGCATTTGCTCGTAACCTAAAACGCAATACAATAATAAAAATGAAAACTGATTAAAAATTAAAATATGACAATAAAGTTTAACGTTTTTACCTATTAAAAAATCTTTAGGATCCTTATCAGCGTACAGAAGCAAGTCCGCCAATATCTGCCTGCCAGCGTCAACGAACCAATTGTATGTCATTCTATCTCTGAGCATGTGCTGGAATGCCAGCCGGAGGCAATGTAGTTTCGCTAAATACTCGCCGTCTGAGCCACATTTCACTATTTCCGTTCTGAGAGTCCTACACGGGATTCCTCCATTTTCTACTTGCCTCAAGGCGCTCTGGTATAGAGGATGGGATTCTAAATCCGGAAAGTATTCTGAAAATTCTTCAAATTCTCGAAGATCTGCCACCTACAATAAGTACTTAGGATTCACAAAAAAAAATCATGGACAAAATGAATAATTTTTAACATTTTTAGGATGAGGATTAATTTAGTAGGAGTCTCTTCTTCTTTCTACATGTTAAGTCATCACTCACCCTCTTTCAGGGACAGCTCATGCTTCAATACAGCACCGTAGGTTACCTTGAAGATTCTCATCACTCTTTCTTCTCCCATTCTGTTAATACGTTCATTCAACCCTTTTTTCTTTTGAATACCCAATTTTTTATAGTCGTTCAGCTTTTTGTCAGCAATTCTATAAACTACCTTTATTTCTTCGTTTCTAGTAGTTTTTTGGGTCTTTTACGTTTCTGGTCTAGTTTGTGCATTATATGTTGTGATAGCTCTTGTAACTGCAATGTTACTTCATGATGTGGTTTCGATTATGATGTTTTTGTTTCGCCATGATACGACTTGTAACTGCAGTGTAGATTCTTGTGAATATATGGTATACAGATATATATATATATATATATATATATATATATATATATATATATATATATATATATATATATATATATATATATATATATATATATATATATATATATATGGATTGTGATATATGGTATACAGCCAACTACAGCAACTTATATTCCTTGTGGATTCTAATGTTTTTGTTTCGCCATATTATGTCGTTTATTGTCATTTTACATATTTAATTGTTTATTACCATACTTCCTTTTCAACATCGGCAAAAAAATTATAGTTCCATATATTTTGCCAAAATTGCTATATATGTTATTATTAAATAATTATAATATACACTCTAAAAGTCTTTTATATCTCTTTTGTTATTAATACAGATTTTGTTTTTTAATATGAATCGTCTCGAATAACCATCCTTTATTATAATTTATCTCTTTATCTAATTTCTGTATATTTTCAAAACACTGCTTGGTTTAGAATATGGTGTTTAATTTGGAAAAGCATTCTTTTTAATAGTGTAAAATACAGTTTAAATTATAACACTATAAAAATAACATGTTTATTGAAAATGGCAGTTCAAGCAGCAACGTTTGAACAATATTAAAGTGCTTTACTAATCCCAGACCGTTAAGCCAAAATAAGTTGGTGCGTAAGAACATATTTCACACTCAAATTAAAGGATGTTACATTGTTACTATAATAAGCCATATAAAATGAAACAGCTTTTAATAATGTCATAAATGATGATGCACGTAGACCCACTCACATCACATCAATAGGAGCATCCACAGATATCAATCTCCCACTCAATCTCAACCCAAAGACTCAGACCCTCATCATACGAAAGTTTTTCTTCCTTAAATCAAAGGTGTCACTGACAAAATCGACTAAATTAAAATCAAAATGAATAAAGACAATATTTACTCCCCAACAAAAACTTTCATCTCTTGTCCGATCAATAAAAGACAACATTACAAATCAACACCAAGTTTATGAAATTCCTTGTGCATATTGCCCCGATCCTAAATATTTCAAACAAATCGTAAAATCCAAACTAAGATTTATGAACATTCATTTCTGTTCGCAATTCCGACTTAATTTCAACTGTAGGTCACCATCACCAACACCATTTTCATACAGATCACAAAATTGATGTTGAAAACTTCAGAACCATAGCCACCATCCGCTTCTATAAACCAAGAATTGTCCGAGAAGCCATAGAAACTGAAAAAGGCCAAATTGTCTCAATAAAAGAGATGACGACATACGATTATATTCGATATGGAGAAAATATCGTCCACTGCGCCCGTCAATCAAAATCCTACTGTCAGAAATGTTCGCGCTAATCCGCACGCCAATCCACACGCTAACTCCCACGCCAATCTCCACCGTAACCACATCACCATGTGCATCTTTTATACATGACTGACAGATATCCAGATTCGCCGTGGGGTACGCCAAGGGTGTATTTTATAACCATTGTTGTTTAATTTATACAGAGAGGCCATATTAGAATTAACGTTGGCCGAAGTCAATGAGGACCTAATAATAAACGTTGAGTATTAACATAAGATATTCTGATATATAAATTGCAACGAATATGGAATAAAAATAAATTAGAAAAAAAAACTAAGTTCAGGTTAATTACAAAAGCACAAAACATCAAAGTAATCCAGTACTAGATAATACAGAAATTGAACAAATATCGTCGTACAAATACCTTGGAGCAACGATCACAGAACATACCGATAAAAAAAAGAAATAAGCAAGGTCAAGTTTTAACAGAATATGAAAACTTTTCTGTAATCGCAATATCAATATAACGCTTCGGATAAGAATGCTTCGTTATATGTTTTCCACTCTTTTGTACGGGTTGAAGCCTGGACACTGAAAGCATTCGAATTGTGATGTTACCGACGTATTCTGAAAATATTCTGGATGGATCGCAAAACAAACGCACAAGATCTCGAACAACTAGTAAAACAATGCGAAGTTTTAAATTCCATAAAAATCAGGAAGTTGGAATACTTGGGGCAAATCATGAGAGATGAAAAATACTAAATATTAAGGAATATAATACAGGGCAAAATCAACTGCAGAAGAAGCGTAGAAAGACTTAAAATCTCGTGGCTACGCAATCTACGTGAATGGTTTGGATGCAGTTCAATTTAACTGTTCAAGCGCGTAACTAACAAAATTATAATTGCCAGAAATATTTCCAATCTCCGATAGGAGTGGAATTTGAAGAAGAAGACAGTTATTAGTTGCTACATTTTGTAATAAATTGGTCGATTTAATTCGCAATGACAAGATGGTTTTTTAGTACGGTACTACCATATTCACGAGTCATTAGTTCGATGTCAAGAAGTTGAATATTTTACACCATATCAAGTAATGGAATATTTAGAATTGAGACATCAATATCTATATTATCATTTTGATTGAATTAACTGTCGCTGGGCATAAAATCTTTTCTACTGTATCCAAAGTAAGTCTCACTCACCATATCTTGCGCAGACGCAAAGCTCTCTCCTTCTGATAAATTCAAATCTTTTCCCGGCGTCTCTTCCCGTACTCCACTTTCAGATCTGAACAATATGGACATTTCGTCTAAGAATAACATTTCTGAATTCTCTTGCAGCTCTATGGCGTATTCTAAGAGTTGCTGTAAATCCTTGCAGAAGGCAGTTTCTTCGGGGCCGAGAACGGGTAGCGTTTGACCACCGTCTTTGGTATTGCGATAGGCTGCCAGAGCGTCCTCCCAGTAGCCTATACATGTTTCTAAGGCTTCCATACCTGAAAAGAAAATCGAATTTGTTTTAATAAATTATAAATAGATCTTCTATTTAGCTGTATTTCGTGAAATATTATAAACAATTTGATGATTTGTTTAGAGAAATACTGAATCAATTGACCTTAGCAAACTGTGGATACGTGGTTGACTTCATAAACGAACGAACAAGACCTCATAGCACCTTCAGTGACGCTTAAATTTTTTCACTACTCAGATTATAGAAATTTTCTTTCATACTTCGATATGTTAAAGCGTTGTTATAAAACAAAACAATTAAAGATATCCTAAAACCAAAAGACAGAAAAAGGAAAAAATAATGAACTTGAACTTATGGAAGAAAGACGAGAGACAAAAGAGCCGATAGGCGCGGAAAACATGGCTGAACGATGTAAAAGAAAAGGCGAGAAGACAATGGCACCAGGTAGCACGGCAAATTAAAATGGAAACGCCAAGGGGAGGCTTACGTCCAGGAGTAGACAGTCAAGGGCTGTTGAAAGAAATAAGAAGTGTAACAGATTATTAGGAAAAGTATTTCGGAAAAAACGCAAGTCGAATTAAGACATTGTATTAAAAAGTTTCACAAAATATTCTGTATTGTAAGTATTTTTATTGTACAGTTTTGTTCTTTATTTTTTTGGATTTACGATATTTGTACGCTTGGTATTTAATTGTACTTTTCTTGCTATGTAACTCTGTTATTAAAAGCAATAAAGTTTATAATAAAAAAAATAATAAAAGACAAAATTTTACTAATTTTACTAATAATTTGTTGAAATAGTAGGTAGTAACCACAGACCACTAATAATAAGGTTTAGAACACAACTAAGAAAAGGAAAAGAATTATAATTGTCAATCGCCAATTGTCATATTAGCGTCTATATTTTGATTTTGTTAGTTTGTAAATTACAAATCACCTACCTCAGTGATCTATGTTTTAAATGTTCCTGGCGGTGTTCAAATAGTATTTTGCAGATTAATAATAATCAGTTAAATATGGTTTTTCACAGTAAATGTTGTATCCTACAATGTACTAATTCGTCATTAATTAGACATGACATACCTTTCCAAATCCTGATGAAGACATTACACGATTTAGGAAGTGGCTTAGTGTTATAAATAATCCTAATTTAGATATGATGAATGCTAGTACAGTTTATAAAACAAAACGAATCTGCCACAGACACTTTGAAGATAAGTTTGTTTTCTTCATGGAGTCATAAATTGTATAAAAATGCAATTCCTAGCTTACATTTGTATGGTGAGTCCAATAAATATTTGATATTAGAGAACAAATAACTGATTGATGAACTTAAATCTGCAACTTCTTTCCTTGAGTTCCGCAAAAGAACAAAATCCTATCTATCTGAAAGATCATATTATTCAGTAGAAGAGTTTCTTAACGAATAGTGTTATGTACAAGTAACTAAACAATTTGTATAAATATATATTTGAGTATCACATGCAGAAACTTGTATTAAAATGTATTAGTTCGTAAGGATTTATTATGCAATTTATTTAAATTTTGCAATACATTGTGTATTTTATTATTTTTTATTTTGTGATATTGACGATTTATGTAATTTCAGTAAATTTTAAATTGCTATTTTTCTGACTTTTTTGTAAGCTTTTTCCATAAAATTGTACAATTTTCAGTAATAATAGCATATTTTTATTCTATATTAAATTACAAAGTTGTTTTACAAGTATTAAATAAATAAATAAATTACATTTTGTTTTATTTTTCCTAAATTGTATTGTGTATATTTGAAATTAAAAATGTCATGCATTTTTTTTTCAAATATACTAAATTATATTTAAAAATTTTAAACTGTATTTAAATTTTCCCACCAAAATTAAAATTTGAATTTCCCGCGTAATTTCTCGCTTGAATTAGTTCCGATACTAATCTTATGGAGCGCTGAATTTCATATCCAACTAAAGTATTGTCGTGGAACATCTAGGAAGGTAGGTGATCTGTGGTAGTAACACAACGTGAAGTTAAGTTCACAAAACATTTTAAATTTAAATTTAAAGTTTAAGTTAAATTTATATGGACCATTACAGATAATTGAGCTGACATGGTTTTACTATTATATTCATAACTTTCTTTTTCTTAATATTTATTTTATTGGCCTATATTTGTCAAAATATGTACATTAGCAGATTTTTGTTTATGACACAAATAATTGTACTTTTACTCTTGAGTAGAATAACTCAACTCAAGATTTTACAGTATTATTCATACATTAACTGATAACAATGTATATTTAAAAGATTTTGCTTCTTACAACAACAGTTCAGTTTACTTATTAAAACGATGATAACATTTCCACTTCCACTACAAGAAGAAAAACTGTCATATATTAACCTCAACTCACATTGACAATGTCAGATTTGCATCTCAAAAATTATTTAGACAAAAAATAATTCATTTTTAAGCCAGTTCCTACCGTAGAAAAGTAATGTATTGTATCACTTATAAATATTTTAAACTAAATCTGTAAATTACATCAATAGTTTTTATTTCTAATTCTGGTTGCAGTCAAAAGAAACCAACAGCACACACATAATTCTGGTTGTTAACATAACTCTTCTCCTCAAGAACTTCCCAATAATTGTCAAAGTGCAGTAAAGCCAATGATCAACAAACATCAACTATATAACCTTAACGGAGCTTTAAATAAGACGCTGCGTACATATAAGAACATTCCTTGTATCGGTAGTCAGTATCGGTTAGTAACACTGTTATACTTTAAACGTGGTACACCTTTAAAACTGTCTATAATTTTTGCACAGATATATTTTGTACCAGACAGCACCCTAATATTGGTAATTTGTAATTTCAGCATTTAATTTGTCTTACCGGAGACCTAAGAATGTATAGTAAATTGTCTTACCGGAGACCTAAGAATGTATAGTAAATTGTAAGGAGAACTAAGAAATCAAGAGGAAAAACACGAGATCATGGCAAAAAATATAAACTAAAAAACGTCGTAGGAGAGAAAGTATTAATCAATGATGACTTGACTAGAGAAGAGAAAGAAAAGCAGAAACACCGAAGAAATTTTGCAAACAACGAAGAGAAAGACAAAGACGTCAAAATTGGTTACAACGGGGTGTTACTAAACCAAGAAGAATGGAGATGGAACAAAATAAAAAAGGAACTTGAAAAACATCCAAAAAACTACAAAAATACACCCACAAGAGGAATATTGATAACGACCAAAGCAACGAAAAGGATCTGACAATGACGACCACGGCGACGAATAGGAACAACGATAGGAAAAAGCACGATGCAAAGGTAAACAAGGATGAAAATAGGAAGAAGATGAAAGATATACCGCAGAAAAAAGGAGAGATAAAAATGGGAACACGGAACGTAAGAAGCATCAATGGAAAAGAGATGATCAGAGCAGAAGAAATGATCAGACAAAAGAGAAATATTAGGAATAACGGAAACGAAAATGTAAGGAAGAGGTTTTAAGAAGATACACAAAGGATATTGGTTATTTTGGGTAGGAGCTGATGCAAAGGAGAGAGCAAAAGAAGGCGTATGGATATTAATTGTACCGAATAGACTACAATACGTTATAGAAGAAACATATGTTAACCAGAGAATATTATCGCTGAAAATGAAACTGATAGCCGAGGAAATATGAACAATAATAACAGCCTACGGAGTAAATGAAGATGCAAAAAAGGAAGAGAAGGATAAATTTTTCGAGGAGCACCCAATGCAAATTGACAACGGGGAAGAAAATATAATTGTAATGGGAGATTTAAACGGTAGAGTCGGAAATAATAACAATGGAATTGAGGAATGCATGGGAAAAGAAGGAGAAGACATACTAAACAAAAATGGTGAAAGAATAATAGAAATATGTATGGAGAATGAACCTGTTATAACAAATACAAAATTTAAACATAAAAAAGTACATAAACACACGAGAGTACAAGAAAGCAGAAATGAAAAATCAATCATATATTACTTTTTGGTAAGTAGCAACAAATGGAAAAGAGTACAAGACACGAAAGTGAAAAGAGGCTCAGAGATCGACAGTGATCATCATCTAGTAATAATGAGAATGAGAACAGCAAAAGAAAAGGAAGAAAAGAATATGAAGGTAGTAAATTAAAAAGTAAAAAGCTACAAATTAAAAGAAGAAAGATATAATTTATAAATTATAAAAAGAAAGGTAGGGCAAAAAGTTATAAATTAATAATATTTTGAAAGGTAGGGCAAAAACTGCAAGTATAGAAGAAAAGTGGGAAAATCTCAAGACCAACTTAAATCATGGCTGCTGAGGAAACTTGTGGGAAGACAAAAATAGCAAATACTAGCATGAGGAGAACTGAATGGTGGACGAACGAAATACGAAGGAAAATAAAGAACAAGAAAGAAAAATGGAAGAGATATCTAAGTACAAAGCGCCCTGAAGACTATGGGGCATATAAAGAAAAAAGAAAAGAGGTTAAAAAAGATGTGAAAGCAGAAAAAGAAAGGTCATGGGAAAAGTTTGGACTAAAAATGACAAATAATTATAGGGAAAATCAAAAACTCTTTTATGGCGCATTAAAACAGCTCAGACAAAAGAAAGAACACATGATGCTGAATATAAAAGACAAGAATGGAAAGGTAATAACAGAAGAAAACCAAATAATGAAAGATAGAGAGAACATTTCAAAGAGCTAACTCATACAGACGTAGACAACATAGTGGAGATACAAGAAATAAATGAAGAACAAAAAGTAGAACCCATAACAGAGTTAAATTAGGGAAGGATCATATCACCTCGGAAATGATAAAATTCATGGGAATGGAGTGAGTGGACAGCATGAAAGAACTAATGAATAATATCATAAAAAGAGCATAAATACCACAGGACTGGAAGAAAGACATTATACTACAAATACACAAAAAGGGCGACAAGAGAAACTATAATCATTACCGAGGTATTACTATATCAAGTATTCCTGGGAAGGTATTCGCAAGAATAATAGA